CCGCAACCCCCCCATGGACAAGCCACAGGTCCATCTTGTACCCCACCCAGGCAGCACTTTCCCCAGCCCCACTCCCTCCCTCACCGCAGGAGCCTCAATCTGCCCAACCCCACCACACAGCCCTTCCCTCCCCCTCCCACCACAGCAAAACATACCAGCCAGACACTGTTCTTCAAGCTGCTGGGCTATGCATCAGAAATCAGATCAGTAAAAATTAGCTTAAAAAAAAAAAAAAAAGGCTATCGGTATCAGCCCAAAAAAATATCAGTGCACCCCCAGCCATAATTAGAGTGGAAATGCTCTGATAATTTAGCAGTTCTAGCACATCCTAGTTCTGGCCATGCTGTAAGTAATATGTAAGCAGTCTAAATGAACAAATATAAAAAATTACCAATATTTTGGTTTGTTACTTTAAGCCTAAATATTGGTCACCTTTAAATGAGTTACAGCTGGAATTTAAGGTTCCTGGCAGACATTATTTCTATCAAGTAACAGGTAATGTTGCTTGATGAAAACTATCATGCCATTGTGACCTGCTTCCGGTTCACTGGGCAAGATATCCTGAAGTGGGGGGGAAAAAAAGTGCCCTAGGAACTTCCTCTGCCTGCACTTGCCAGCAACAGGAGCTGGAGAGCTGCTAGCAAGGGCTGTCAGGCCCCATCTTACACCTTCAGATGTGCTGCTAATAAGAAGTGAGCTCTGAGCTCCCCCTGCAGGAAGGAGCTGCTCCCCTGACCTTTGAAGGGAGACCAGTGCAAGAAGGGGGGCAGGAACAGCACAAGCAGCAGGGCTCAAACCTCCTGAGAACACCCTATAAATAGGGTGACCATACATCCCAGTTTGGCCAGGACAGTCCTAGATTCCCTAGGCTGATCCCAGCTGGTTGGTCAGAAGTCCCACGCCATAGTCTGGTGGGAAAATGGAGCGGCATAGTGAGCCAGGCAGGCAGCCACTGCTGCTCCTGTGCAGGAGGAAGGTGAGCAAATATATGGTCATCCTACCTAACGTACCATATCCAAGGTCCCTACATTCTTTGTTGGAGACCATCTATAATGTAAAAACCCACCCTAACCAAATCAGGGACTTGTGAGCCCAAGCTCACTTCAAAGATGAGATGCATCCGATTCCTGGGCTAGGATCAACAATCATCCAATTGTCAGTCCCAGCCCCAAGAATGCACTGGGGCTGGTTCAAGATCCTGATGCAGTCCCAAGGTTGGAACCACCAGTAAGCTGACTGCTGGTCTACCGTGGAGCCAGTTTAAGACACCAGTGCAGTTCCAGGGCTGGCACAATCAGCTGATTGTCAGTCCCAGCCCTGGGACTGCACCAAAACCATTCCACACCCTGTTGCAGTCCAGGGGCCAGGACCATACTGGCTTTGGTCACCCTATCACATGTTCAATTTAAGGTACAATGGAGATCAGCCATAAAAGTGTTCCACATCTTTTGTACAGTATTTTTTGTGGCTGGTTTCCCATTGTGTCACATCATTCACTCCTTGAATGTGTGGCAAGGTTTCTACTTACTGTGTGATTAGTAGGGTAATCCTATTTTAACTCTAACATCTACCAGGGGCCTTAAAAGGAGCATCTTTTGACTAGCTGTCAATTTCTATTGTGCAATAATTACTCTGCGTGTGTAGCATGTCTAAATTTACTCTGCTATTTCCTGGTTAAATGCACAACGAATGTCACGTGTCAGGGGCCTAAGGCAAAGATTTGGACTGATAGTTAAGAATTCAAAGCCTGTTCATTCATTGCTAGCTAGCTCCATTTCCTACATTCTTTTTTATTTTACTAGTTCTAAAAATATACTTAGAAACCCAATTAACAGACATTGCATATGATTTATAGCACAATAAATGGGAGGTTGTGACTTACAAAATAAGTAAGTCTCTATCTTAAGTCAGGCACCCAAACACCCTAAAAATGTAGCTAAGAAATTTTACACATCACTCATTTTCATATGCAAGTACTTACTTCTCCTCCAAGAACCCTGGCCAATAAAAAAATTGTCAAGGATCCAAATATCCAAATAGTTATAATCCAAGAAACCACCTTAGGAGAAAAAAGAACAAATAAGGGTTATTTCCACAACAGTGTAATAGCTCGTTTGGTTTGGTAAGCAAGTCTAAACAACAGCAAACATTATACTACTTAGTATTACAGCATAACCAGGAATCAAATTCACAGTATATTTTATCATTTGGAGAATAACTTTTTTTGCACAAGTTTATGGTGTTTGAGTACTCAGAACACAAGAAAACAGTAAAACCAGTATTTCACAGGGAATATGGTTTTGTATCAGAACAGGAAGATGTTGGTAAAACTATGTAACCAATTAGTTAAACAAACTTTAGTCAGTGCATCTCAAGTCCACTCATGAAGAAATTTAATCAAGTTTCAGATTTTACAGCATGGAAAATATACTGTTTTCACTCTACTTTGAAGCATAAGGGGAAACCATTTTGCCTTTATCCCCAAGAAAAAGCATGTTTAGGCTTTACCACAGGGTTAGCTTAAATCAGGATAGTCCAACAGGAGGCTCGCAAGTTGCATGTGGCTTCTGAGGGGTGAATTTACAACCCCTACAGTTCCTACCCAGCCCACTACCTGTTCCATTGCCCCATGGGCAGCAGCAGCCAGGGTCTCCAGGCTCCTCTTCCTTTCTTTGACTTCTGCCTCCTGCCCCCACCACAACGCACAGGGTGTCAGGGGAGCCCAAAGGCAGGGATTTGAGAGTATGGGTACCCAGGTGGCCCAAAGTGCTCATGGCTTATGTTGGTGTGGCCTGTGTTGCACTCAGCCCCCAGCCACTTAGAAGTTGGACAGCCATAGCTTAAATCAGGAGGGAAAAAAAAAAAACACAAAAAAACAACAACCTATGGCAATTGAGAGTTCTACCCCTCTCTCTTCTTAGGTGAAAACAGTACTCTCTAATCCCTAATGGTAATGTGTTACACACAAGCCCACAAAAAATAAAAATAAAAAAAATAAAATAAAATGACAATTTAAGTTAAAACTCATAATTCTAATTCCAATTTGATAGTTTCTATCTTAGAAACTGGTCATTGCCTCTTGGCCTAAATCCTACAACCAATTTCTGTTCTTCACATGTTTTTTCTACTCCTCAGTGCTTAGACTGAATATGAAACCTTAAATCAACAAATTTAAAGTCACCAATCCATAATTAAGTTTAAAACGGAGGTGAGATTCTTCTGGAATGCAGCCAATAGGAGGAGAAAAATAGATGGAAACTGTATTCCCATAGTACCATGGCTCCATTCTATGATACTTATTTTTATGCTAGAAACCTTAACTGGGTACCAACTTAAGGTTTTATATTCAGCGTCAGAATCATAAGGAGGGTAAAACAATCATTGCAGGTTTCATCTCTGCAGTCAAAGTTATGTAGTTTTTTGTGTAGAGGTACAATAAAATCCTCTTTTCTCTTTGCAGCCATGTCTCACGTCCAAAAAACCAACACAAATTAATACATTAACATTTGTGAGCTATACTTAACAGAAGTAAGCCATTTGACAGCGTGCTTCAGTCAGCAATTAGTGCAAAACTTAGAGAAGTTGAAAAGCAATCCCATTTGGGCTCATGCCTACACATCCACTATATTCAGCAGTAATATAGGAGCAGTGCCAACATTGTCCCCAATCCCCAGGGAGTCTGCACCCCAGCAGCAAGAGCTTTCCTACAGCGTTTCTCTTGCAGAAGCAGCCAGTGCACAGTGCTGCTGCTATAAAAGCAAGAGCCAGGGTGTGCAGAGCCCTCCAGCAGCCACCAGGGACTATTCTGCATACAACTCCTGCACCCAACCCCCACAAAACCCATGCAGGCACCCCCTTTTCCCCCACTCTCAGAACCACATGTCCCACCCCCCAGCCCCAATCTTCCCTACAGGGATTGCCCATGGTATAAACCCTTCTTGTTATACCAGTCTGCTGTAAAAAAAAAAAGCATGTCCTGATGGCTCGTTGCTGAATAAAGACCTAGTTAAAGGCATTTACTCTTTACTATAACTGTGTTTCACAGAGAACCCACTTAGGTCAAGAGATGGGTAAATGCTATTAAGCAGAGACGCAGGCTCATACAGGCAACCCCCGCTTAGCGCTCTTAACTGGTTCCTGAAAAAAAACAAGCATTAAGCGAAACGAGCATTAAGCAAAACAAAAAGTATCCAACCACTCAAGATGGCGACCACGAGTGTTATAACAAAACTCGCTGAGCGCTAAGTGAAATCAGGTACTTTCAAATAAGCATTATAGTGAAATAGCACCAAGTTAAACACCATTAAGCAGGGAGTTAGTTGCCTGTATCCAGATCGTATCACCTTTTAGAGTGAAAATGACTGGTAGAACTACTAGAGACATCAGAATCAGATTACAATGGAGAAGTGAAAAAGGCAAACTCTACTGAAGGCCAACCAAATCTATACAATAACTGGGTAATCAATCCCTGAGCTCTGAAAGAACTGTGGGAAGAGTTCTAGGAATAAGGCATGTTTATCAGGGAGTCAGAAAAGTTATTCAGCTGCAGGGGAAAGGAGAGTAAGAGGGGAAAAGATATTTTAGAAGACAACAAGCAGCACACAAAATTGTGTTACGTCAAGGATGGAGTTAGGTATGTGGCCTTATTCACAAAAATAAAATCACAAAAGTTTAAATAACAAGAATAATTCAGTAGCATGATTACACTGAATCAGACTTAACAGTCTATCAATTTCAGCCACAATATTTTACTTAATGTATATGACCAAGTATTGAAAATATTTCATCTGTTACTTTAGCACTATGAAAGTATAGGGCAAATAAATTGGCATTTTAAGTCAATCATATTAGTATACGTTATAACATTTAATAGACTGCATTATCCATATATGTTTTCAGAAAATATATCATCCTTTTAGCTGCATTATGGCAAAATAAGTTTGTCACTGTAACTAGTTCTATAAATGTAATACAAGGAATATTCATGTAAATATTTATTATTTAATTACAAATTAGTTATATCCACAAAGACTAATCCAAGAAATAAGCAAGGATTTCTTTGGGTGATCTCTTTTATTGGATCAACTGTACAGCTGAAATAAAGTTAGACGAATTTTTGACTGCACTGCATTCAAAAGCTTGTCTAACTTTATCCCAGCTGTATGGTTGGCCCAATGAAAGTTGTTATCCAAAAAAAAAATCCTTGTGAACCACAAAATTCCTGGACCATTCTGGCTAGATCACCAATAGTAATCCATGAAAGAAGTATGTTTAGAATAAGATACTATTTCTTCTCACAGTACACACAGAGAGATGGAGCTTTTGTTGTCTATGAATAAATAGAATGAACAGTTCAGTAATCAAGTCAGTATATTTGGTCTGGGATTCTATTTAGATAAAAAGGGCTATACTCACCTTGAATTGTCCATATAATGAAATCATAGAGAAGAAGAGAACAACTGCCAGAGGACCCCAAAAATCAGGATTGTCTCTCACTACTTGTCTATTAAACCCAAGTGATGGCATAGGCATCAGCACACATCGAATTTTGTAGTAAATATCTTTCAGATCAATGTCTAGTTCCTCCCTACAAGCGCAAAACAAAAGCATTACTATATATTCTGATTAACAAAGCAATTTATGCAAGGAAAAAAAAACTAATTAAAGCGCAAGTTAATGAAGCAACAAAAGCTTATGGAGTGTGTTCATATCCAGAATGCTTAAATGTCACAAGCTTTGAAGTCAATAAAGTCAATTTTTAATGTGGAAGCCCTGGAACAATTAACACAGAATTGTGCTTTATTGTTTTGGAGCACCATCCAAAACAATAAGAATATAAAAGAGCATCCATTTCTCTCTATCCACTGGAAAATTAGCAAGTATTGCTTTTTATATCTCATTCTGTATGCTGTTTCATTTCACTTCCAGAATTAAACTTGCTGAAACAGCAGCCACCCAGTAACATGGGTATATTCCATCTTGTGAGTATAATCCTCTGGTACCTCAAGCAGACAGTTCTATTATTTAAGAGAATAGTAACTGTCAAAGGCAAACGTTGCAAGTGTGACTGCCCTTTACTAGACAGGCTCATTACATGAACAGACTTTTCTTATCTTTGAGGCCAACACCAATTTAACTAAAAAGGTTAATAAACATAGCCCTTTTGGGTGAAGAACATCTAGTAGCCTAGGATGATTAAAACCAATGAAAAATTAGTTCAGGAGCTTCACTCCCAAACTGTGTTATAACAGTCAAACCTAGACATAATGAATGTATAACTGCCCTGTGGAATACAAACCTACTCTTCATAAAGAGCAATGCCATATAGTAGAGGGAACCTATGCATTGTCACCCCACTATTTCGTTGTATTTCGCATTAGTTCTCTAGAAGAAAACTGAACATGGATGTTTCTTCTATTCTGGACAGGAAATACTATTTAAGAACCTACCTAGCTTTGTATGTGGGAAAAGTTATACCATTCTTGGAGTAACAGATTAAGTATTATGTTCTCTACAAATATCGGTTCTGTCCCAGAACTTTTTATTTCAGCATCTGAAAACACTTTAAGATGAGGTTAATCCACAGTATCCTCTTATGACAGAATTGGGGGGGGGGGGGG